AGGGAGGAGTCGTGGGGGGGGGGTCACATGGCCAGCACCCTCCCCTTGAGTCCCTCCTTAGTCGTCGCCCCTAGCTGGGGCTTCCAGGTGTTTTTGGGAGCAGGGGATAAGGGGCGAGGGGGAGCACAGGGAGGTGCAGAGTCTCATCACTCACCCCTTGTCCCCGCCCCGCTGCATTGCGACAGCACCGCTGGGGGGTTCTCATTCCCCCAGGCCTCTTGCGGGAAACCTGGAGATCTGGCCTCTGCAGGATCAGCCCCCAGGCGTGTCTGGAAGGGAAGGGGGTCGGGACCGGGGGAGCAGGGGATAAGGGGCGAGGGGGAGCACAGGGAGGTGCAGAGTCTCATCACTCACCCCTTGTCCCCGCCCCGCTGCATTGCGACAGCACCGCTGGGGGGTTCTCATTCCCCCAGGCCTCTTGCGGGAAACCTGGAGATCTGGCCTCTGCAGGATCAGCCCCCAGGCGTGTCTGGAAGGGAAGGGGGTCGGGACCGGGCAGATCGCTGAGTGTAAGCCCGTCCCCTGGATCGTGCGTGGAAGGCTCCGATTTCGTCATGGCTGTTGGTAGGATAAACGTCCCGGGCAGGTCACAGGTAATAAAGAGAAATGCACAGAGCCCAGGCACTTTTACTACTTATATCCCTGAGAACTGGGAGGGGGACGGCTCCGGCGCCCATTGCTGCTGTGACTGGGGTCTCATGTCAGCTGTGCGGCTCTGGCTGGGAGTTCCATGAGTCCCCGCTCCGATTTCGTCATGGCTGTTGGTAGGATAAACGTCCCGGGCAGGTCACAGGTAATAAAGAGAAATGCACAGAGCCCAGGCACTTTTACTACTTATATCCCTGAGAACTGGGAGGGGGACGGCTCCGGCGCCCATTGCTGCTGTGACTGGGGTCTCATGTCAGCTGTGCGGCTCTGGCTGGGAGTTCCATGAGTCCCCGCTGCCGGAGGCTCAGGGATCTGAGGGACTCCCTTTGCCCATGGCAGCCTGGAGCTACAGGGGGCCCCAGCTGGCCACAGAGACCCACAGCTCTGGGGCCATTCACTGTGGGTGGGGACTGTGGATTGCCCCCAGGTCCTGCAGCAGCTCTGAGCTCTGGTAGGCAGCTTTGGGGTGTGAAGGGGACCCTGCAGCTCGGAGCAGCCGCTGGCTGTCGTCAAGGGGGTCTCTGGAAGGCCCCAATTCTATGACTTTTTTGAGTTCTGAAAAAGAAACAAGTGGCTTTACTCGTGTTCTGGGCCAGTTGTTAGCACAATGATCATTACACTCCTACTCCCTTGCTCCAGTCTGGAGTCCCCTCCTCATCCCAAAATCGCAACATTAGACTCCTAGAATCCTAGGGCTGGAAGAGACCTCAGAAGGTCATCAAGTCCTGCCCCCTGCCCAAGGCAGGACCAATCCCAACTAAATCAACCCGGCCAGGGCTTTGTCAAGCTGGGACTTAAAAACCTCTAGGGATGGAGATTCCACCCTCTCCCTAGGGAACTCAGTCCAGTGCTTCGCCACCCGCCTAAGGAAATAGTTTTTTCTAATATCCAACCTAGACCTCCCCCACTGTAACTTGGGACCATTGCTTTTCACTCTGCCATCCTTCACCACTGAGAATAGCCTCTCTCCAGCCTCCTTGGAAGCCCCATTCAACTAGGTGAAGGTTGCTATCAAACCCCCCCTCAGTCTTCTCTGCCCGCTCGTCAAACCCAGAGCCTCCCCCCTCCCACAAATCGGCCATGTGCAGAATGGATCTTGTTACGGGTGCCCATATGGAGACGAGGTAGACATAAAAAAAGAGGGGACACTGCCTCTTTGCCCACCAGGTGTCTCTTACTGTGTCCTTGCTTCTCCATGCTTAGCAACCACCGTTTTGATGTCTATGACCCTATCTCAGGCTCCACAGGACTGGAGAAGAAAGTGCCCTTGACTTGGGAGGAGGTGGGGAAATCCCACGGAACCGAAAGCCCAGTTTGATCTTACAGATCTCATACCCCTGTTTGTGTCATTGGGAAAAATGCTTCCCAGCTTTTTGGGGCTTGGTGCGGATCATTTCTAGATGGGAAGGTTTGTCCCTTTCTTTCATTAAAGTGATGTGAAACGTTTTGCAACCAGTACAACCAAATGCTGAGGGGAGAAGTGAAGCCAGTTTAGCCGCTTGAGAGGAAAATGGGAACGTTTCTTTTCCTGATGTTGAGTCTCAGGCTACATCTAGACTACACAGTTTTTCCGGGATACTGGAGGTATCCTGGAAAAACTTCCATGTCCAGGGAACACGTTTGTTCTTCTGCTTTTTTTGCGGAAGAGCAAACACGCTCTTTCAGAAGCCCCTGTAGTCCTCCTTCCATGAGGAGTAAGGGACCAAGGCAGGTGTACCAGGACGCAAACAGCCAGTCTGGTGCTGCCCCCAAAGCATGCCGATTTTATACAGCACTATAAGCAACCCTGGGTGGGGACCCCACATCCACGGCCAAGGACCCAGGGAGGGGTAAGTTGCCGTGTATTGCAGTGGGATGGGGGAGGGGTAGTCGCAGCACAGACAATTGCTCTTGCCGCCAGGGGCAGTGGCGTGGGGTGATGGGAGCTGGCCATGCCCTACCTGGCTCTGCATTGTGTCCAAACAGAGCATGGATGTACACAGAAATGTCGATAGAATCGTGCTGGGAGATGGTGTCAAAGCTTTTCCCACGGTATTTACTAACGGTCCCATGGAGATTCTACGGCCAGGCTGCTATTTTGCCACCACCACGGTACGATGCCCTCCCAAACCATTCCTCAGACTGCTGCCTGCAGCCAGGCAGCACCGAGTCTGGCTGCAGAGGGAAACCCGCACTGGCATCCAGAAGCAGAGCCCGGGTTTACCTGTTAACCGTCAGTAGGGGTAAGCCAGCCAGAGGAACAGCAGCCTGTGGACAAGAGTAGGATCCTCACAGATTGTTCCATGTACACCTGCTGCACAAGTGTGTCTGGAGAGACCTGTGTTTGCGGCCAGCATAAGAAGAGAAGTGGCCAGTTTTGTTCTGAGATGCACGTTAGTGAAATGTTGCAATCTTTGTCATGACTAGTGTCGGGGACTCAAACCCAGACAGCTTCAGTTCGTTGTCTGACCGCAAAGAGACAGGCAACACCAGCAAGGTCTAATCACAAAGCTCTTTATTGAAGAGTGCACACGCCAATAGAGAGCAGCCCGTCTCTCCGAGAACCAGCCCCCGATTCCTATAGCAAGTAGGGTTATATAGACAGTTCCGTCGCCTCATAGACTATTTACTTAAGCAACTCACCCCCCTTTGTTAGTTAGAAACTTCTAGCATGGGTGCATACCTTGCCAACTATACAAGGTGGCCTTGATACATTAGCAACTTTCTTATTAAGACAGAAGGCGAGTACCAGACAACGAGGAGACGGGGAGTTTTCTTATCGGTTTCTTAAGCAAGCTGTTCAGCTCAGCAAGTACAAAAATGCAGCTGTTTGCTTATCTCATGCCCTTGCTCAACTCATGTCTCAAATTTTGTTCAGGGACTACCCAGAACCCCTTGCTGGACTCTTCTCCCTCTGTCTTAGCATAACTGCCCTAGGCCCAATTTTCTGTGGCCTAACAGTTCCCCCTTTGTCCCTAGAGTACCACAAAGGGACTCTTGGGACAACCTCGCGGTACTGGATGGCGCGCTGATCAGAACCTTGTTCATTATATTTTAACATCATGAGTTTCACATTCCTTTTGGTAAGGGTCTGTCTTGTGTTTTTTAGAATACAAGAAATACAGCATTTAATTAACAAGAAACAGCAATAAGCACAAAACACTATAACCAATACTAGAACTATTCCTTGCAGAATCCAAGTTTCCACATGTTCAAACCAGCCTTCCCACCAACCCCAGAGGGTCCAGTTTTTCTTGTCTTAGGCTTTCCACAGTTCTTTTAATTTCTGAGGCATCTTCCTTTACTTCCTTGCTGGTGTCAGAAATATATACCCAGCATTCTCTTCCCACTAAGGCACAGACTTACTAGGACATAGTTTAGGGCCATCCAGTTTTGGCTTTTTCTACCTTGGCTCCGGAACCATTACATGTTCAGCAGTACTCTCCAATTGGGGTCAGGGCTAGGCGGATATACCCTGGGTTAGTAAACCCTTTATCCTGCCAAGTATTATTTTGGGCCCAATTTACTAAGCAGTATGCCATTCATTTGAGTGTTGTTCAGTGGGACTGGAATTATTGGGATACCTCCTTTTGAATGTACAGGACTGAGAGCACATATCCAGCAACCTGTGGAATTAAATTTTTGGGAAACTTGGTTCATTAAAAGCATAAACACTTTTGAACTATATAAATTATAACTGCTAAGTATTAAAAACAAAATTAAGCATAAGTTTAGCATGTATTGTTTGTCCAGCCTTATGCTGGCTGTTCTTCAGGACTTTGTAGTTTGCTTCACTTATCGCTGTAATAGGGTATGAAGATTGGGAAGCTGATGAGGAGTTTCAACTACATAACTAACACTTGGATAAGTGTAAAGCTTTAGCTATAACTACAGTGGCATGGATATATGAATTTTCTTTTCACTCATTATCATTATTTAAGGGGGGGCTCCTCTAATTGGAGCCTGAAACTGTTACATTCCATACCACTGAAAAGGAAAGACAACAAATAATAAACAGATTGCAAACTTAAGAACCTAGGCAAGGAAACGAGGCCATCTTTCCGGGAAAGGACACCACTAATCTAAGGCACTCTCAGTTGAAGGCGAAGCTTCAGGTTGCCTAAGGGGGTAGCAGTTCATTTGCCTCGGGCACAGATGTCATTTGCTTCTGGTTCACCCGATTCGCGGT